GGGGTCTTGCCTGTGTCTCTATAGCCTCAGTCCGGAGTCTTGCCTGTGTCTCTATAGCCTCAGTACAAAGTCTTGCCTGTGTCTCTATAGCCTCAGTCCGGGGTCTTGCCTGTGTCTCTATAGCCTCAGTACGGGGTCTTGCCTGTGTCTCTATAGCCTCAGTCCGGGGTCTTGCCTGTGTCTCTATAGCCTCAGTCCGGAGTCTTGCCTGTGTCTCTATAGCCTCAGTACAAAGTCTTGCCTGTGTCTCTATAGCCTCAGTCTGGGGTCTTGCCTGTGTCTCTGTAGCCTCAGTCCGGGGTCTTGCCTGTGTCTCTGTAGCCTCAGTCCGGGGTCTTGCTAGTGTCTCCATAGCCTCAGTCCGGGGTCTTGCCTGTGTCTCTATAGCCTCAGTCCGGGGTCTTGCCTGTGTCTCTGTAGCCTCAGTCAGGGGTCTTGCCTGTGTCTCTGTAGCCTCAGTCCGGGGTCTTGCCAGTGTCTCTATAGCCTCAGTCCGGGGTCTTGCCAGTGTCTCTATAGCCTCAGTCCGGGGTCTTGCCTGTGTCTCTATAGCCTCAGTCCGGGGTTTTGTCTGTATCTCTGTAGCCTCAGTCCGGGGTCTTGCCTGTGTCTCTATGGCCTCAGTCCGGGGTCTTGACTGTGTCTCTATAGCCTCAGTCCGGGGTCTTGCCTGTGTCTCTATAGCCTCAGTCCGGGGTCTTGCCTGTGTCTCTGTAGCCTCAGTCCGGGGTCTTGCCTGTGTCTTTGTAGCCTCAGTCCGGGATCTTGCCTGTGTCTCTATAGCCTCAGTCCGGGGTCTTGCCAGTGTCTCTATAACCTCAGTCCGGGGTCTTGCCTGTGTCTCTATACCCTCAGTCCGGGGTCTTGCCTGTGTCTCTATAGCCTCAGTCCGGGGTCTTGCCAGTGTCTCTGTAGCCTCAGTCCGGGGCCTTGCTTGTGTCTCTGTAGCCTCAGTCCGGGGTCTTGCCTGTGTCTTTGTAGCCTCAGTCCGGGGTCTTGCCTGTGTCTTTGTAGCCTCAGTCCGGGATCTTGCCTGTGTCTCTATAGCCTCAGTCCGGGGTCTTGCCAGTGTCTCTATAACCTCAGTCCGGGGTCTTGCCTGTGTCTCTATAGCCTCAGTCCGGGGTCTTGCCTGTATCTTTGTAGCCTCAGTCCAGGGTCTTGCATGTGTCTCTAAAGCCCCAGTCCGGGGTCTGGCCGGTGTCTCTATAGCCTCAGTCCGGGGTCTTGCCTGTGTCTCTATAGCCTCAGTCCGGGGTCTTGCCTGTATCTCTGTAGCCTCAGTCCGGGGTCTTGCATGTGTCTCTAAAGCCCCAGTCCGGGGTCTGGCCGGTGTCTCTATAGCCTCAGTCCGGGGTCTTACCTGTGTCTCTATAGCCTCAGTCCGGGGTCTTGCCTGTGTCTCTATAGCCTCAGTACGGGGTCTTGCCTGTGTCTCTATAGCCTCAGTCCGGGGTCTTGCCTGTGTCTCTATAGCCTCAGTCCGGGGTCTTGCCTGTGTCTCTATAGCCTCAGTACGGGGTCTTGCCTGTGTCTCTATAGCCTCAGTCCGGGGTCTTGCCTGTGTCTCTATAGCCTCAGTACGGGGTCTTGCCTGTGTCTCTATAGCCTCAGTCCGGGGTCTTGCCTGTGTCTCTATAGCCTCAGTCCGGAGTCTTGCCTGTGTCTCTATAGCCTCAGTACAAAGTCTTGCCTGTGTCTCTATAGCCTCAGTCTGGGGTCTTGCCTGTGTCTCTGTAGCCTCAGTCCGGGGTCTTGCCTGTGTCTCTGTAGCCTCAGTCCGGGGTCTTGCTAGTGTCTCCATAGCCTCAGTCCGGGGTCTTGCCTGTGTCTCTATAGCCTCAGTCCGGGGTCTTGCCTGTGTCTCTGTAGCCTCAGTCAGGGGTCTTGCCTGTGTCTCTGTAGCCTCAGTCCGGGGTCTTGCCAGTGTCTCTATAGCCTCAGTCCGGGGTCTTGCCAGTGTCTCTATAGCCTCAGTCCGGGGTCTTGCCTGTGTCTCTATAGCCTCAGTCCGGGGTTTTGTCTGTATCTCTGTAGCCTCAGTCCGGGGTCTTGCCTGTGTCTCTATAGCCTCAGTCCGGGGTCTTGACTGTGTCTCTATAGCCTCAGTCCGGGGTCTTGCCTGTGTCTCTATAGCCTCAGTCCGGGGTCTTGCCTGTGTCTCTGTAGCCTCAGTCCGGGGTCTTGCCTGTGTCTCTATAGTGTGTCGTGTTTGGGACTCTGTGATGAGTCGTACACTGGACAGTAAACTCCTACTAGAGGCTGGGCGCGCTTTTACTGGTGTCAGTGATGTCCCCTCAGGTTTACTGTTAGCACTACAACAGATGAAATAAAACAAGAATTACAATTGTGCTGATGATGCTGCCGGGTCTTGTTCACAATCAATAATAGGACAAATAAAGATCACCAGTTTACATTAACGTAATGTTGGACAAACCTGAAAGTCTGGCACGGCTGCTGCCCTGCTGGTCTGATGGTGTCTTTAGTGGGAGTTTTGGATGCTATGGATTCAGTGTCTTCAGTCTTCTTCTCTTCTTCCTCTTCCTCACTGCCTGAACTACATATAGCATAAATATGGAGCTATTATTGTTTCAATAATATTTGTGTGTGCGTAAACAGATTTGTGTGTGCGTAAAAAGATTTGTGCGTGCGTAACCAGATTTGTGTGTGCGTAACCAGATTTGTGTGTCCGTAAAAAGATTTGTGCGTGCGTAACCAGATTTGTGTGTGTGTAAAAGAAATATTTGTGCGTGTGTAAATAGATTTGTATGTACGTATCAAGATTTGTGTGTGCGTAAAAAGATTTGTGTGTGCGTAGAAAGATTTGTGTGTGTGTAAAGAAAAAAAAAAGTACGTTTTACACACAAGTTTTTTTTTTTACACACAAATCTTTTGACGCAGTCCTGCCTTCGCAGATTCGCAAGTGTAACTTGGACTGTGTGCGTGCGTAAACAGATTTGTGTGTGTGTAATTTGACATTTGTATCTGTAACAGAACAATCTGTGTGTAAATAACCGCGTTGTACAAAGAGAAGAACGGAAAAAAGCCTAAGTGCTACGCACAGGCTCTGTTTTACACACGAATCTCTTTTTGACACACCTCTGCCGCCAAGCGTGTGTCAAAAAGATTCGTAAGTGTAATGTGGTTGTTCTAGCAGTACACCAGCAGATGGTGCTGTTGTAGCTGGTTATTACCTACACGCAAGCAAACCAAAACCTACTGCCTTGACAAGACATACTACCGCAGCTGTTTATGATATTTTTTTCCTATTTTCAAAATCCTGTCATTCACACCACTGTATGATACATGGATCTATTATAATAACTGGATAGGTGTTACTAGCTTGGAGCTGAAGGATTCTCGCGTACTGCAGACTAAATTCACGTTGGCTACAAAGAAATTTTCCCCATAGAACTCAGCTGACAGAGAACCTACAGCTTTCATAAAGGTCGGATTTTGTGGGAATTTTAGAGTTCCTTGTCATCCTGAACTTTTCTTCTTCTTAAATCCTTCGGTTTTCTCTATCTACACTTTAGTGCCACAAACTCAGCTGGTTTGCTTGCGTGTAGGTAATAACCAGCTACAACAGCACCATCTGCTGGTGTACTGCTACTTTTTTTTTTCTTTACACATACACAAATCTTTCTACGCACACACAAATCTTTTTACGCACACACAAATCTTGATACGTACATACAAATCTATTTACACACGCACAAATATTTCTTTTACACACACACAAATCTGGTTACGCACGCACAAATCTGGTCACGCACACACAAATCTGGTTACACACGCACAAATCTGGTTACGCACGCACAAATCTTTTTACGCACACACAAATATTATTGAAACAATAATAGCTCCATACATAGACAGACCTTTGGCAGTAGTTACGAGTGATGAAGTTGTGGTGGAGGATCTGAGCTGGTGTGATCCTTTCTGCAGCATTGACTGCAAACATGTTGCACAAAAGAGCTATGCACTCGAGCAAAGCAAGGCCTTCATACATCTCCCAATCACGAATGTTCTTCTGTTCAGGGAAGAAAAGACAGTTTGCATAAAAACACAAATGTATGTAGACAGAAGTATACACTGTGTTCAGTCGTATATCAAGGGTTGCTGTTCTTTGGTGTTTATAATGAAAAAAATAAAATAAAAAATCTAGCGGAGTTGGATCACATCATTGTTTTAACATTGGATGTGATCATTGTAAATGGCACACAGTTGCAAAGTTCAATTTAAGTCCAGACATCTTTTTATACAATTTGTAATGTGCCAAATAAGGCCACCAATATTTATTGTTTAATTATGTCTAGACCTAAGGTCAATAGGTATTAGGTAAAAAAAACCTCTTCTGACCTTTGCTGGTGCGTCTAAGGACAATGGATCCAGAACATTTATGAACTTTGGTCACCCCGTTCTCTTATGGATCACTGACTCTTTGGTGTTGTATAAATGTATTTCATATGTGTTGTAATTTTTCTAATCTGCTGTTGGCAAATTGAAAATTGTGACATCTCTGAGACAAATTCTATTATGATTTGTGTAAATACAATAATAAATGGATTTAAACTGAGGTCCATTTGGGTAAACACACCTCTACCAGTTCGTCTAGTGTTGTACACTCTTCAACAAGGAACGCCCGAAGAGCAGAAGGGACCTGTCCAGACCGCGCTGTATATTCTTCATCGGTCTAAAAAAATAAAAAATAATAGAAACATTACGGCTATACAGCTCATTCAAAACATCACTTTAATCATGTTTTACCATCAGTTTCCAGTGATTGTGGACCTTCTTGAAAAACTGATTGACTTTTGTGGCACCATCAAGATTAGCTGGCAGCTCAAAAAGCCTGACTATAATCTTTAGCTGCAGAGACGAATGTAAGAAGTTAGGATGTCAGAAACAATGCATCGCACTATTGGGTTTTTTACAGGACTAACTACTACTGCTACTAAACCAATCAAATTACAAGTTTACATCCTTAATAAATGCCATTAAAACATGGTTCTGAAGTGACGCACAGTCTCAAACTCGCTCTGCTCTGGGAAGATGCTGTAACCGAGTAACATGGTTGCCGTTACGTTTGCTAACGACCACACATCGATGGCCTCAGACAAGGGAAGGCCTAGGATGACCTCAGGAGCTCTGGATGTGGGCAAATACAGACATGAAGAGACAGGATTGATAACATATGAAACACAAGAGAAGTCCTTGGTACCTGCAGTTTACGTGCTTCTGTAAGATCCTCCCCTTCTTGGCAGCCGTCGTGTGAATGGAAGAACTGAAGTCGATCAGTTTGACTTTGATAGGGTCCCGTGTGCGGAGCCAAATAGTGTCTAAGGTCAGATCTGTGACGATGATCTGCATGAACTTCAGGGCTTTTAACGCAGTCGATGCCTGTAGAGGAGTTTAATTATTTTTTTATTTGAACTGCATTAATTCTGCTCAAAAGAAGTTAGCTGAAGCAAAAAATCTTATGAGCACCCCCAGTGCCCGACCCTAATTACAATCAATGACTTTTCAGATCACAGTAAAAAATAGTACAGAACAAGATCACAATACAAACTACATTCTCCTTGATTTTAGAATAACCGACAGAGATGCCAGAGAGAGACCAGACGGAGACCAGTGAGAGACCTGAGAGAAAGACCAGAGAAAGACCAGAGAGAGACCAGAGAGAGGGACCAAAGAGAGACACCAGAGAGATCAGAGAGTCACCAGTGAGAGACCAGAGAGAGACCAGAGAGAAACTAGAGGGAGAGACTAGATTGAGAGACCAAAGAGAGAGACCAAAGACCAGAAAGAGACCAGAGAGAGACTAGAGGGAGACACCAAAGAGAGACCAGAAGAAGAGACCAGAGAGAGAGATTAGATTGAGAGACCAAAGAGACAGACCAGAGAAAGAGACCAGTGAGAGAGATCAGAGAGAGACTAGAGGGAGAGACCAAAGAGAGAGACCAGAGAGCGACCAGAGAGAGACTAGACTGACAGACCAAAGAGAGAGACCAGAGAGAAACCAGAGAGAGAGACCAGAGAGACCAAAGAGAGAGACCAGAGAGGGAGAGACCAAAGAGATACCAGACAGAGAGCTGAAAGAGAGACCAGAGAGAGAGCTGAGAGAGAGACCAGAGGGAGAGAGAGCAGAGATAGAGCAAAAAGAGAGACCAGAGAATTTAATTCTAATGCTTTAGTCATGACTAATGCATGTTCCTACCTGCTGAAGGATGGGGCGGATCTCATTGAGACATATCTGACCTTGATAGTGAAGGAAACTTGTCAGACTCATGTCCAGTTCCTCTAAAACCAGAGCACTTCCAAATCCATAGTTGATGGTTTCTAAATACTGTACTATGTTGTACTTTTCATGATGACCTTGAAGTCTCCTCAACAAAGAAACCTACGTGTTGAATCCGATAAGACATAGATAGGACTTGTGTGTGGTTTTACTTGTGTTCGGACTTGCCTCTTTTTTCAGCGACTGTTCAGATTGTGGAAGTTTTACACACACCAACTGTTTCGTGTCCATCTTGTTGCACAGGACAATTTGACCAAAGTTCCCCTCTCCAAGACAGGTGATCAAGAAGAACTCTCTGGGCAGAAGCATCTGGATGTCCAAGCTCACAAAAGACTCTGATTCATAGTCACTGTAGACATAGGCTTAGATCAGATCATACATTTAACCACAACTGACCACTGCATGTGCAAAGAATGTGAACATTGCTTCTGGATTCAATTTGGCTTTTTCCAGACCACTCAGTCAACAGGACACAAAATTCAAAGAACTGCATCATCTTGGCCTTAGAATTAGGGTGTTTTTTTCATTATTATTTTTTAAAATTCAAATTAGATAAATATTTTTATCTAGTAATATATATATACTTATGTAGATGATTTTCATATTAAAAATCAATGAATATCTATAATACATAGATACACATGTCGTGTCTATTATTGTGTTGTATATTTAACAGTGTAGCAATGGCTTGAGTCATACAACAGTGGGATGGGTGCTCTCATCCATGTTATGACTGTATTGTATATTTCATACATTTGGATATAAACAGACCTGTCACTATCGGAGCTTTGCTGTTTCCGCTCAGGCTTGTTCTCCGCTTCCAGGCTTGAACAGCAGGACTCTGGAGCCTTCTTCCTATGAAACCAGCCAAAACCATGTGTTCAAAAGCACATACTTTACTCTGAGAGGATGCAGCACTCCACGTGCCTTCCACGTGTCACACTCACCAACACGTGGAGATAAAGGGATGCAGGTGGATCTGTCCTGGGGTGATCCGTGTCACATCATCCACATCCACCATCTTTTTCAGCAGGTCAATGCAGCTGTCCAGCTCTTCGGTCTGCAGAGGATTCTGCATTTTGTAGTCCTTCTAAAACAACACAACAAGATTCTAATGAAGTAAAACGTGGAAATGGCAAAAGAACAAAACGCAACATTCTAGTTGATTCCTCTGATCAAACAAGTAACTTTTCTGGAACTCACTTTTAGCAGCTGCCTAAGAGAAGAGAATTTCTCTGAATACGAGTTCTTAATTTGATACTTATGTAATCCAAATCTTTTCTCGTAATCCTCTGTCTTCTGTGTTAATGGAAAAAGTTTTCATTGTTTTATCTTATTTCATTGTTGAAGTAATTTGAAACATTGTGTGTACCCTTAATCTCCATCCATTGACATCAACAAGGAAATACTTCGGAGTGTCTTGGCTTTTATTGAGCATTCTTTGAGGCAAGGAGCCCAGGACCTTGACAATGGCTTTCAACTGAGCAGACAAGCATTAGTTATAAGTTACTATAAGCATTAGTTTCAGGTTACACCTGAAATATGAGTAACTTATATTGTAAGCTTATTTAGGTTACACCTGAAACATGCTTCAAAGATAACTGACTTACTGCCTCAAACTCGCAGCTCGGCGTAAACAGAGGCTTCTTCAGCATCAACTCGACAACTGTGACTCCGAGAGACCACATGTCTACGGCCGCGTTAAAGCGCAGACCTAAAATCACTTCAGGAGCTCTGAGGAAACACAACACTAACATTAACTGATCAAAGGCACCTCATTGTTTTCTGCTTTAGATATGACGGACTAACGTCAGGAGGGAATACAAATTCTGATATGTCACATTACTCTTGTTGCTGTAACAGTTAGTTGAATGAAGCTCTATATTATGTTGATTTATATTAGGTTGAGTGAAAATGTCCATATCCCTGCATCAAACCCATCCTGCAATGTCAGGAGCAGGTGTCACCACAGTGCAGCCCATATCCAGAGGATGCTTGGCTTGGTCAGGACCACTGGAGATGCTGGATTTACCTATAGTACATTATTGTGTGGTAGGGGGATACCGGATAACCTATCCAGACATGAGGAGAACATGCAAACTTCCAACCAGGACCTTCTTACTAAGGCATACTTAATTCTTCCTATAGAATGAGTGTTCTGCCCCATGCTGCAATGTCACAATGGCATCTGTCAGGAGCAACAGTGCAGCGTCCGAGGACCCATCTCAGATGTTGAGGTTCATGGATAGGACTATCGGAGCTGGAGGTTTTAACCGGTTGCATTTTTTGGGTGGTGGAAGAAAGCAGAGCACCCGGAAGAAACCTACCCAGCTAGGGGAAGAAACATGGACCCTCCACAGAGGAAAGAATGTAAGTAAAAGATTACCTGAGGGGAAGACAGGCCACTGTTGTGCCTGGTTTGACTGAGTCCAAGTACATGGCCAGACCAAAGTCGATCAATTTGAACTGGAGCTGTTGACTCGTGTGATCACTGACCATGATATTGTCCGTTTTAATGTCTGTGTGAATGATTCCATAGTCACACATAACTCCCAGAGCTGTGGCCATCTGCAAGACACAAAAGGCATCGATCCAAATATATACTTAGAACACACATATGTATTTAATTTTTACATTAACTAAAGCAGTAGTGGGTACCCAAGTCGTTTTCATAATTCATAATTGGTTTGTCTTGTAAAAGTACCATGTTGTGAATCAGACTTGGTGTCTTATTCATGCCCTGTTTTGCACTTGTAAATATCCTGGTGTGGTTCTATGCTTTTTCATTTTCTGTTTGTAAAAACTGATTTAAGGTGATAGTAAGAGCAAGGAGGTAGATGGATTTTATTATAGTTTGATTGTTAGGAACCCCAGCTTTATTTCTGTACCTCACCATTGAATGAAATGTCTAAACATACAATTATAGGGCAGGGATTTAGGCAAAAGTCAAGTTTCCGTGAGTAAATCGATATATTGAGCCAGTAGTTATTGTGGGAAACCGTTGTAACATTTGGGAAAAGTATTGTAGCCTGTGATCTGTTCTTACCTGACCAATGAGAGCCCTGATATCACATAAACAAAATCCTTTTGGAAACACTTTTTTCTTGAAGTCCAACAAATTCATGTCCAGGGCCTCAAGAACCAGACCTGGTCCATATGGAGTGTGTATGGATCCCATGTAGCGGACAATATTTGTCTGATCCAAGTCTGCCTTCATTAGTGTGCTCAAGATGCAGCCCTGCAGGCACACAAGACCAGGAGTCATGTTCCTTATTTCTATGTTATTGGCCAAATGTTTAATAGGGCTATGTATATTATATAATATGCAGGAAAAAGCCAAAAAAAAATAATATTAACTACCAGAGTTTTATTAAACTAATACTACAAATACTTATACGAAATAGACAAATATGTAAAAAACAATGTAGGGAAACGTTGTAGGAAGCAAGAAAAGCGTCCTGGATCCAGGAAATCACGTAGCAATGTAACTTAGCTGCCTTGAGACTCATTTAGCTACTACAAAATAACATGGGCTAGCCTTAAGACATTATTCAATTTTTGATTCAAGTACATATTTATTCAAATTGCAATTAAAACAGCTTTTTATTCTTAATTTTATGTATATGACCTTGAACTTTTGAGAGTTAGTTAGACTTTCTTTGCCAACTGACAATGCTACGCTAACTTGAATGGTTAGCAGGCTAGCGGCTAATACAGGCTTTGCCAAATAAGAAAATAAGATAAAGATAAGATAAGATCAATAAGAAATAAGCTAGCTTGTTGGCTAAAGATAGAAAATGTATGTATGACTACTGGCTCACCTCCTCCTTCAGTCTCTGGGCTTTGTTGTGCGGTATCTTAATGGCCACCTCCATCTTGGTGCCTCTTTTCACGCACTTTAGCACTTTACCGTAGACTCCTTCTCCCAAAACTTTGAGAACCTCAAAGTCCTTGGGAATGATTTCTTGCAGTGTGGCTTTTGGTACTTTCTCTGAATCCATTGTTGTTACTCTAAATTCATCTCAATTTAAATGTGTGAATTATTAATATTGTTCAAGATAGACCCATTTTAACCCCAAACCAGCTATGGTTTTTTTTGTACATTATTCTCAGGGTTTATCTGAACACAAGTGAAATGTGTTTTATAAAAATTTACAGTTACTTCATAGAAAGATTGGTCACCATGGATACCAGGCATTACATCTTCTTGTGTAACAGGAAAATTACATCTTCTTGTGTAACAGGAAAATGTATGTGTACATGAGTAATTATGATATATATATATATATATATATATATATATATATATATATATATATATATATATATATATATATATATATATATATATATATATATATATATATATATATATATATATATATATATATATATATATATATATATATATATATATATATATACTTATTTGTCAAAAAGTTTTATTTTTATGGCTACAATCTTCAGTATGTTTTAGTATGGGGAGTTCTTCTCGGTGAAGGGAATATTGTAAGGACTTCAAATATTTGTTTCTAAAGTGTACGTGTGTTGTAACTAGCCATAGACTGTAGCATTCATTACATTATGTAGATCTGAATGAAACAAAGCAAAGCACTCTAACTATCTAACAATTTTGGATGTCTTTGTGAATGCTCATAGGGGATATCTGCTAGTTAGTTAAACATGCATTTGTTAGAATTATATATAATTATAAACATACACAAAGCAGTTTTAAAGTGTGGGCTAATTAGATAAAATACTATTGTATAATTGCTGTTGTGTATTTATTATTATAATTATGGTTATATTTATTATAATTGTTATTATCATAATCACAATTATTATCTAATCATATTATTATCTTTTTCTTTTTTTTTCATGTTTTGTATTCGTTCCAGTTCACATTCCTTACCAGTAGATGGCGGTAAAGCTCTTGCTACAACCGCCAGAAAAATCTATTTGAAGAAGAAGTGTCTTAATCCAAATCAGCAAAAATACCTCCTTTTACCTATTATTATTGATTTTAGTGACATAACATTGTACTTTATTTCCATAAAAACATCTTTAAAATACATTATATTTAATTAAAGAAAATCTAGAGCCACTCTGTGTCCTAAAAGGTTCATTAGAGAGAAAGAGAAAACAAACAAGGATTGTATCTTTGATGAATTCGGATGTAGCCGGTAATTTGCAGAGTACTGTCACCACCTCAGCTTATTCGAGAGGAAGTGGCTTCATTGGTAAAAAAAGTGTCTTTATTGTAATTATTCTGGATATCTTGGAGCCATCTCACTGCCCACACGTTAAACATGTATCAGCGGACGATCGGAGGCGTTGTGCTGGGATAAATTACAAGTTATAAGTTAGAGGTCAGTATTTTTAGCGCATGCAAAGCTAACGAGAAGCTAAGGTTTTAGACTAAAGACACTACTGTCTTTCATTGCTGGGTTGAACTGTGCAGTTGTCAGCTTTTGTATACGTGTAATAGTTTTTTTTTTTTTTTTTTTTATGAATCCGGGACTTCCTTTTAAATAACCAAATACAGTTAATTATAACATTAGCTTACATTGATAACTATACTTGAACCCACAGAGCTGATGACTTATGACTTCAATGTTCGAGTATATTATAGATTTATCTACGGATGTATTCATACAAAGATATAACTATGTCTTTGCACTAGCATACAGTTTACAGGTTTACACCTCATATTTGTACTTGATAGAGATTTTATTTGTTGTTATATTTCATGTTTTGTAAGTATAGAGTTGTGCCATAATTAATATTCAAGAATATTACATGTTGTGTTTATGACATTGATATTTGTTTTAATTATTGATTTGTAGCATTTGAGTCAATGTTGCTTACTTACTAAATATACTGGGCATCAACATTGAAAATACTTGCAAAATATATCAGTTATAAAATGTATTGTTTATGTGGAGGAACCCTGTTTTTTGTAATTATAATGTAATTATAAAGATGGCCTCTCACAACATTAAATAAGTGTTATCTGAGTACAAAGTCAAATTTGCATGTCTTTTCACAATCCAAATACACTGATTTGATTAACACAATAATCAATTACGCAAATACTACTCTCCTTTTGAAAAAATTATAAAGGGTTCAAAAGAATCCATCACAAAATTGTAGATTTCAGCACTATTTATTTTTTTCTCTAAAGTTAACAACATACATTTTCACAGATTCTTGTACTAAAGTAGTACCACAACTTCAAGACACTCATTCACTACCATTACATTGACTTTCAAACGCAATGTCTTCAAAGTGTTGTATCGCAGTAGTGTTACTGTTTTGTGTGTTTTCTTCTCACTGCAGTTCTGATGTGGGGCACTGGCCTCAGCAGCACACCTCTCATCCTCTGTGACCAGGACCGTTCCAACAAATGTCCCTCACTCTGACCGCCATGAGTGACAGCGCAGCGGGAGGAGAGCAGTGGGCGGGACAAGGGCAGGGGCCACGGCAACCACAGGGCCCCTACCTCTCTGTCATCACGAATAGGTAAAGTTAGCGTTTGTTTGAGCTTAAAACAACATCAAATAAAAAATTAAAAACCTTATTGAGAACTGGGGGCTCTGTCTGAGAAGTCTGAATTAAGAACACACACACACAGATGTATAAGATGAATGAGTCATATAGCGACAAAATTACAATATGTCTTTATTATTTGCGTCTTTATGTTTTTGAAGTTTTTTTCCAATCAGGTCAATCCCCAACTCATTAAATGCGATTGTGTCTTGTGCGCCCAGGACCACTAACCTGCTGATCCGAGGCTCCATGCTCTTCTCCGTGGGCGTGTTCCTGGCCCTGGTGCTGAATCTGCTGCAGGTCCAGAGGAATGTGACCCTGTTCCCCCCGGACGTCCTGAGCAGCATCTTCTCCTCAGCCTGGTGGGTCCCTCCCTGCTGCGGGACGGCCTCAGGTGAGACTCACAGAACCACACTACACTAGCCCTATCCTACGCATATGGAGATGTAGGAGATGTACCGTAGTGCGCAATGTTTGATTCATTGAGCGTTGGCAGTTGTCTGTTTTGTAATAAGATGAAGACGACATTAAATGATAAAGAGGTAGCCTACATTTAATTGGTTTAAATGTTATATTTCTATTTATGCCAAATGTAACATGTCAATTTCTCAATTGTGAGATTGATAAAGTCTTATCTGATCTTGTCTTAATACTTCGGTATGTTGATATTCTTTTACCAAACTAAACTGTTTGGCCATTCTTTTAACAGTGTCTAAATATTTCTTCTTTACATAATGGGGGCCTTGATTTTTGTGAGAAACAACCAAAATATGCTTTGTCTAATTTATGACCCGAGTGTTTCTATCCATGCCAAATGTGACATGTAAATTTCTCCTTTGTGAGATAAATAAAGCATATCTTATCTTATCTTATCTTATAATTCATTTTGACAGTTGACTGATTTGAAGGCTATAAACTGCTTGTACAGTGTTATATAAATAGTTTTTTGACCACATATGACTGACAAAATGACATTTATGTGAGGCAATGTGAGTAGAGGAAAGGCGCTGTTTAAAAGTTGTCTAAAAAGTGAGTTTAGTAAGACAGGAGTTCTTCGATTTGCAATTCTATGAATAGCCCTTTCTTACTGTGGAAGTCAGACCTCTAATAAGTGGCCATTAGTTTCCACATTATTCCAACCACACGACCGTCTGCTGGTTCAGCAGTGTGTGCTCAATAGCACAAACTGCTGCTCCCCAGGGGCCCCGGCCACACCACTCTGAAATAACACTGCTAAACTTCAGGTCAGGGGTATTCAACTGGCTGCAGGTTGAGTCCAGTCTCAACCTTTAGACTTGATGAAATTGGTGGAGTCTGGTATGCTCCTGCTTGGTTAGAATGAAAACCTGCAGCCACTCGTTAGTATTAGGAAGTTCACTGGTTCCATTTCTTATATATTCCCCAACTGATCTGTTTTTGTTTGCTATACAGTAATGATCTATAAAATCTGTTTTTATTTATTTATTACATATTTAAGACTTTTATTAAATTATTTCTCTACCACACAATGATTTGATATTTTACCTCTTTTCACTATATGCCACAATATTGATGCAAAACTACCTAATACAAAATATAATCCAAGGTCCGGCAATGAATTATAATTATTAGTTTGAAGCTTTTTGTGTGATCGAAAGTTAGAATGCTTTGAACAGTCTCAAATACAGAGAAATGGGTGGAGATATTTGGTAAGTTATTTTTCTTTAGGCAGGAACACTGCAGAGCAATATAGGCTAACTCAAACAACAGTATGATAGACTTTAAACCACCAATGTAAAGAGCAGTGACAGAGAAGAGGACTCAAACCTGCATGTTTCGCTTTTAAAACATTAAATATTTATTTATTTATTTATTTTAGAATACAGATCAAATGTAACACCCCTGACCACAAAGAAACAAAATAAATACACTACAACACACAATTATTTACATCTAATTAATGACTGCAGACTTGTTTATCTATTGTCTTTAGACTGTTTAAACTCACCTACCAAATATCTCCACCCATTTCTCTGTATTTGTGACTATTCCAAGCATTCTAACATTAGGTCACACAAAAAGCTTAAAAACAATTATAATCCATTGATTCCTCTACTTTAATCATCTGTGACTAGTACAAGGGTTAAACAGTCCCAGTGAGGTAAAGCGTTCCAGGCCCTTGCTGCTTTGACAGAGAAGCAGTGCTGACCAAATGAGGAGGACCTAAAGTTCCCATAACAGTCTCCTCAGGATGTGGCTTCAATGGCTCTGATTCTCACCTCCTCACTAAGATTTTTAGTGGTTATGAAAAAAAAAAAAAAGTTTCATGCAGCAGTTGCCATGTACATCTGTATGTGTGGCCTCATGGTGGCGCTGTTCTGAGCCTGACTGTGTCCCTGTTGTCCCAGCGCTGATCGGCCTGCTGTACCCCTGCATCGACAGGCGTCTGGGTGAGCCGCACAAGTTCAAGCGCGAGTGGTCCAGCGTGATGCGCTGCGTGGCCGTGTTCGTCGGGATCAACCACGCCAGCGCCGTATCCTTCAGCACAAAGAATTCAGTATTATTACACACGTCAGAAGTGAAAAGTAATTATGCTACGCACTGTGGTACATAGAGACTTTTCCACATCTAGACTTGGTATCTTTGTTTCTGCTTAAAGTGCTTATGTGAGCTCAAGGAGTGTAGTGTATTTGGAGATGATCACTGGAACTGTTGCCTGTACATGGAGTATCTTGCAAATTTTATTACTACTCAACAAATTAAAATTGAGGTAATTTTTTCATAAATAAATCAGACCACAGCATGCTGTCTCTAAGTCGTGTTTGTATACTTCACTATTTACCAGTTTTGGCTGGGAGCTGATTGACTGTATGTGGTTAGTCCTCTTTTTAATTTTGTGATGCCAAAAATATATGCGTGCAAAAACAAATGATAAATCTAAACTATTTTTAAGTATTAGGTAGAAACTGTACAAACGCTGTATAACATGTGTACGACTACTTATGTTGGCATGCTATGCTAATGTTATGCGTTTAAATACTCACTTCAACTAATCATGATTAATTACATTTCAAAAAGGGTGTATGATCATGAATGAATGAACAAATGACAGCCTTAAGGTGAACTTGTTCTATTGGAAATGTATCTAAATGTATTCGTATATGGTACTTGATTGTTGATTAAAGCGAGCAGATCTTTTCCGTCTGTGAATCCAAGCAGCAGCGGTTTTTGCCCCTTGACCGCGTGTTGCATCAGAAAGTGGACTTTGCCAACAACGTGCAGCTGTCCCTCACGCTGGCCGCTCTGTCCATCGGTCTGTGGTGGAGCTTCGATCGCTCACGCAGTGGCTTTGGCCTGGGAGTCACCATCGCTCTGCTCGCCACGCTGGCCACGCAGCTGCTGGTCTACAACGGCTTATTCCAGTACGTCACTCACACCTCAGGGTTCGCTTTGGGACTCACACTTTTTACATCTGTATGAGACCTCACAAAGGTGTATTAGGAGTTCTAAGACATAATCACAACTATTTATTCATTCATTTGGATCCCCATTAGCTTCCACAAGTGGTCACTAATCTTCCTGGGGTCCACTCAACAATTGGAATAGATGGAACAAATTATCAGAATATTTGGTATTTATTGCAATTGGAAGCAACTTTTATTTGTCCCTCTGGGGAAAGGTCAATAGAACAATAAGAAAATAAATCTCTGGACATATATTTGCAACCTTGTTTCTTCTTGCTTTAGTGGTTTTGCGTAAAGTTAAAAGCGGGTCTGACACAGTGAATACTTTTGAGACCTTTTCATTTGGCTAAACAACCAACCAGGGTGTCTTTGGTCGACTATAGCCCTAATGTGAGTCATTTTATTAATAAATACTTTGCATATAATAATCATAATGAAAGTGCAAGCAATTCACAGTCATGAAAATGCAACAAACACAATATATTTTGTCTTTTATTTCTTGTACTTCTGACCGGGATCCCTGAGTCTAACATACGATAGCGTCTGATTGCGTCGCCCAAGCAGAAGTGTAAGAGTTGTGCTTTGCAGATACACGTCTCCAGACTTCCTGTACATTCGCTCCTGGCTGCCTTGTATCTTCTTTGCTGGAGTCATCACCATGGGAAACATCGGACGACAGTTAGCTCTGGTCAGTGACTTTTAGTTTATTAGCAATTCATTTTACATGTAAATTCCTCGCAAATCTAGGATTGGTTCATTTCAGTGATGGAAAATTAGGGTCTATACCAGGCCTGTTCAAACCATGGCACAGTCTGTCATTTTGTAATGTAATGTTTATTTATATATTATATTGAACAGACTAGGGGTGGGAACCTAAGGGTACCTCACGATACGATACGATACACGATACAAAGCTCACAATAACGATAATATCACGATAACTATATCACAATAACAATATCACAATAAAGATTTTCTCACGATATGACGATTATTGATATATTGGTCAGAAATATACAATATGCCAATTTATGGCATAAATAAAAGAAAAAAATACACTCTATTTCATGATAAATGGAATGGAGATGCGTAATGTAGCAATATATTAAGTACTGATACCAATTTTAAAAAAAGAAAATTGTAAAAAAAAAATAATAATAATAATAATTAATAATTATATTATTATTTTTTTTCAAAATTGATTTCGATACTTGGCAAATGCATATCAATAATCGAATCGCGGGAGAAAGTATCGCGATATTCCGAAAAATCGATATGCAGCCAGCGTAAGTTCAATTTGGTAGACGTCAGCCAAAGGTAACCCCTCCAGGCCGGTTCTCATCCCCAGCCTACCGCACTGCAAACGCCCCCTTCCAATCACCGGTCCAGCCAGGCAAGCTGCTTAAAAGCGGAGGAACTCCCATTCTCGGCCTCTTGAAGCTGCAGCAAAGAGCGAAGCCTTGCAAAGCGTCGTTCTGGAGGAATCGCTTTGTTCTACTCTCACTTACTTCGTGCGTGTCCCTGCTGTCCTCTGTCCTGCTGCGTGTCGTCTGCTCCTCCTCCACTTCGCTGCACCTGCTGCGGGTCTCGTGCTGTGGTCCGTGGGTCTTTGCCGCTCTCCTCCTTTGCGGGCTCTTTCTGCGGGTTCGCCGCTGCTCGTCTCGTCGCGGCCTGCTGCTGCATACGGCCGGTCTGGACCGGTGCGGTGGGAGCCGTGCGCATCCCTGCCTCCTCGTGCCATACGGTGTGGTCCCGTCGTGTTGTCCCTTATCTTCTGGCGTTGCGGGTAAGTATGAGATCTGCGGACGGTTTATTCCCCTCGCATTGTCCTACAGGCTCAGTTGGCCCCGCGCTTGTAATGCAGGCTCAGTTGGCCCCGTGCATTGGTGGGCAAGCATCAGTTTAAAGCCCTCGCATTGGTCTGCAGGCTCTCTTTAACCAAGCTCCGTTTAAATCCTTCACTCTGACTGCAAGCTCCGTTTAATCCCTCAAATTGGACTGCGAGCTCTCAGTTTAATCCCTCACGGAACTGCTTATATCTGGAACTGCTTACGTATTATGGAACTGCTTACGTATTGTGGAACTGCTTATGTATTACGGAACTGCTTATGTATTACGGAACTGCTTATGTATTACGGAACTGCTTATGTATTACGGAACTGCTTATGTATTATGGAACTGCTTTTATGGAACTGCTCATATTGGGACTGCTCATACCTGGAACTGATTATATGGTACTGCTTATACCTGGAACCGCTTATACAGTGCATGGAACTGCATATATTGGTTCTGCTTATATCTGGACCTGCTTATATATGGATCTGCTTATATACGGAACTGCTTATACATGGATCTGCTAATATATGGAACTGCTAATATATGGAACTGCTAATATATGGATCTGCTAATATATGGATCTGCTAATATATGGAACTGCTAATATATGGAACTGCTAATATATGGAACTGCTAATATATGGAACTGCTAATATATGGAACTGCTAATATATGGAACTGCTAATATATGGAACTGCTAATATATGGAACTGCTAATATATGGAACTGCTAATATATGGAACTGCTAATATATGGAACTGCTAATATATGGAACTGCTAATATATGGAACTGCTAATATATGGAACTGCTAATATATGGAACTGCTAACATATGGAACTGCTAATATATGGAACTGCTAATATATGGAACTGCTAATATATGGAACTGCTAATATATGGAACTGCTAATATATGGAACTGCTAATATATGGAACTGCTCATATCGGAACTGCTCATATCGGAACTGCTCATATCGGAACTGCTCATATCGGAACTGCTCATATGGAACTGCTCATATCGGAACTGCTCATATCGGAACTGCTCATATCGGAACTGCTCATATCGGAACTGCTCATATCGGAACTGCTCATATCGGAACTGCTCATATCGGAACTGCTCATATCGGAACTGCTCATATCGGAACTGCTCATATCGGAACTGCTCATATCGGAACTGCTCATATCGGAACTGCTCATATCGGAACTGCTCATATCGGAACTGCTCATATCGGAACTGCTCATATCGGAACTGCTCATATCGGAACTGCTCATATCGGAACTGCTCATATCGGAACTGCTCATATCGGAACTGCTCATATCGGAACTGCTCATATCGGAACTGCTCATATCGGAACTGCTCATATCGGAACTGCTCATATCGGAACTGCTCATATCGGAACTGCTCATATCGGAACTGCTCATGCAATATATGGAACTGCTTGTATATGGAACTGCTTGTATATGGAACTGCTTGTATATGGAACTGCTTGTATATGGAACTGCTTGTATATGGAACTGCTTGTATATGGAACTGCTTGTATATGGAACTGCTCGTATATGGAACTGCTTATATCTGGCTCCGTCTCCTCCCTCAACGACGCTGTCTGCCCGGACGCGGGGTGCCGCTCCGACCTGGCGTTCGGGTCCCGTCTGCAGAGCCGCTGGGACGGTGTATCTTTTTTTACAGTGACGTCATCCCGTCCTCAGATGCCCTGCGGTTCTTCACGGACGCAGCCCCGTCCGTGGGTTTTGGGGGTCTCTTCCAGGTCCAGTGGTTCGCCGGGCCCTGGCCCGACGCCTTCCCTCAAAGCATCTCCTCCGCGCTCCCGATAACCTTCCAACGTCATCCGTCTGTTTCAGAGCCCAACTCAAGTCCGTACTGCTGCTGCTTGTAACCTGTCTCCCCATCTCTACACAGCCCACTCCTTCGGATAGGCGCCGCCACGCGCGCCGCGTCCCTTGGGCTCCCCTATTCCGCCCTCCAGCAGCTGGGCCGCTGGTCATCATCGGCCCTCTCCTCATACATCAGGCCTGACACTTCGACCATCCTGGCAGCCCAGCGCCTCTTTGCATCTCCATAAAACACTTGCAAACTTCCTGGTGGCGGCAGCAGCTGAGTATCCGCAAGCAATGGTCGCAGCAGCTGAGTATCCGCAAGCAATGGTCGCAGCAGCTGAGTATCCGCAAGCAATGGTCGCCCGCAGAGACTGTTCGGCAGAGACTGTTCGGCAGAGACTGTTCGGCAGAGACTGTTCGGCAGAGACTGTTCGGCAGAGACTGTTCGGCAGAGACTGTTCGGCAGAGACTGCTCGGCAGAGACTGCTCGGCAGAGACTGCTCGGCAGAGACTGCTCGGCAGAGACTGCTCGGCAGAGACTGCTCGGCAGAGACTGCTCGGCAGAGACTGCTCGGCAGAGACTGCTCGGCAGAGACTGCTCGGCAGAGACTGCTCGGATGAGGATCCGCAAGTTTGGTCACAATAGATAGCGGTCACAGCATATAGTGATAGCGGTCACATTATATAGCAAAAAATGGTTAGCGGTCACAGTATATAGCGATAGCGGTCACAGTATATAGCAAAAATGGTTAGCGGTCACAGTATATAGCAAAAAATGGTTAGCGCGCGATGGTCGCGACTCGTCAGCATATATAGCGATAGCGGTCACAGTATATAGCGATAGCGGTCACAGTATATAGCGATAGCGGTCACAGTATATAGCGATAGCGGTCACAGTATATAGCGATAGCGGTCACAGCATAGAGTAGTCTCGACGTCTGTCCCCTTCAAACCAGGCTGCAAAACTCCATCAACTCACAACCTTTTGGGGATTGGCACGCTCCATCGCAGAGCCCCTCCGATCTGAAGGCCGCACCGGGGCCTAGGGCGCCAAACCTCCTCCCAATAAATACTCAAAAGCTTCTTGTTTCACGTCTCTCCAAATTGAAATGCAGCCAGCGTAAGTTCAATTTGGTAGACGTCAGCCAAAGGTAACCCCTCCAGGCCGGTTCTCATCCCCAGCCTACCGCACTGCAAACGCCCCCTTCCAATCACCGGTCCAGCCAGGCAAGCTGCTTAAAAGCGGAGGAACTCCCATTCTCGGCCTCTTGAAGCTGCAGCCACCGCCTCCCCTCCTCCTCCTCTTCACCCTGCTTCATTCTGCCTTCAATCTGCTTCCCGCTGCCAAATGCCGCCACCAGTGCCTAGGTCCCGGGGGATTGGCACGCTCCATCGCAGAGCCCCTCCGATCTGAAGGCCGCACCGGGGCCTAGGGCGCCAAACCTCCTCCCAATAAATACTCAAAAGCTTCTTGTTTCACGTCTCTCCAAATTGAAATATCGTCACACCCCTAGTACAGACCAACGTCACCCAAAGCGCTTTACAATGTTTTGCATTCTCTCCACACACAATTTGACTCTCACTGCCTTGCTAACATATAGCAGCCATTGAGGCACTTTCACTGTGTTATCCAGCCAACTTCAGCACCGATTAATAAAGCTCGGAATCTTTGGAATACATTCGTCATAAAATTCCATCTATGGTGTTATATAAATATAAGATATAAAAAATACATGTGGAGTGAGTTTTCTGTATAGAAAAGGCCCTGGATTCAAGAGCTCATATAGAAATACTGCTTCTTTTGGGCGAAAAGGTTTTCGCCATACAACTATGATAGTTACTCAAACATTATGTGTTCCTCAAGATAAGATAAGATAAACTTTATTGATCTCAAAATTGAGGAATTTACAGATATTTTAATTACTATCAAGCTGACTAATCTGCATGGTCCCTGTTTTACTGTGCCCACGATGAATCGTGTGCTTGGGTGAACGCAATCTCAGTAGTTTTCTCTCTCTTTCAGTACGAATGCAAGTTCCAGCAGGAGAAGATTCACCAGGATTGAACCGTTCTGAGTCTTCCCTTCCCACTGCTCAGTATGGACAAAGTATTTTCAAACTCTGACTGAACGAGACACTAGCCTTCTCTGTCTGCGTGCGAGACAGAAGCTCTGCGGGCTCTTTGCTCACTGTGAGGGTGGAGGACGCTCACAATGGGAAGTACATATTTTACACATTCCACCGTTTTCATGAGAGACCATTTATTTTAAAAACACTGAATGGATTATCGTGGAACGGTTGTTTTATCCCGCGGAGGCTATTGTACTGAAAACAAAACAAAACTGACATTTTTTGGTAATCCAACAAGTGTTCCTTTGTGTTTATCGACTTGTATACAGGGCTGAGAGATATCGTCCAATAATGATATCTTGGTATATGTTGCTATGTATAAAAATGCAACTTTTTAAATACCTCGCAGAATAAATGTATTATGAGTTTCCGATGCGGATTTACATACAATATTAGATTTTTTTGTATTCAAGAAACTGCAGACTGACAGTAAGGGAAAGAGGAATAATATTATGCCCCAAAATAGACATTTCAGAGACAGCATATGTCATAGGGCAACCACAGGGACAACCATTTAAAATAGGGGCCTATCAGACTAAGCAGGAGCCGAGCAGACAACACCTATTTCCTCAACTGAGGTCACTCTTAAGGGACTGTCTCTGGTCTTGGCCCGTCATGATAATAACTATATTGATTTATTGTTCAAAAACTAAAGAATGCATTGGCTCAACACTAATTGTCTCAACTGATTCTACTGTTTGTTTCAGGCAATGGCTGAACAGTACATTGGGCACAAAGTTATTGTTTCTTGCAATACTTGACTGTATCAATATATTGGCCTTAAAAATGCATTATTGTGACAGGCCTACTCTGGTCATCAATCAGTCTCTAAAGATATTTTTGACAGCACAATATTTTGATATATAATAGAAATAGTTTTGGAAATTCAGTTTCTCTGCTGCTAAAGCATCAGTCATGATGACACACAACAATGAAAGGTTAAACAAAATAAATGTTTCCAGCTTTCCAAACCGCTATGGAAAATAGCATTCATAACATTTGTTTGTTTTCTCTAAACAGCATGAAAAGGTCTGCGCTCCCCTGATGTCAAAGTGTAAATTGTGTTTCTTCTTTACCAATGAAATGATGACTTCATTCTGGTTCATTTAAAGATATTATGTCTATCCAATACTCTGCTGTTTTGAGGTTTGTTATCATGTTTAGTGTTATGACCAGTTTAAGAGAAAAAACAAGTCTGAAAAGACAAAATTATCAATGATGTGATGTACATTACAAATTGTTATTATATTCATACACTGTTGTTTATCGTTTGCAAAACTTCAAGAGTGGACTTTGTTATTCCTCCATTAAATCTCAGCTGGAGATTTGAAAAGCCCAAAATGAAGTCTAAATTTTTATAGGTGTTGTGTTTGCACAGACTTCTGTATAGGCCTGTCTTTGATCTATTCTAGGGCAAAAACTCTGGTCTGAATTAGGACGACATTTGAGTCGTTATACTAATACAGGACTGAGGCAGGAGATTTTCAAATAAGAGAATTTTGTCCAAATTTAAACCAAGATTTTGAATTTTCTTTTCATAAAGGCCTTCAGTCAATCCTGCAAACATGATTATTATGTATATAATAAAACCATGGTCAAAGACCAAGCTGATATATTTGTGTTCAGGAAATTATTTTTATACTTAAAAGAATCCATAAAATGTTTTCCAATTTCTTTCGCTCAAAATCAAGAAAAAATAAAAGTTGTCAGACTATATTGCCCAGTCCCAATTTGAATCTCGATTTCATTTGTACCCTTACTGCAGTTTGAGAAACGCAAACATTAATGGAGAATAGAATGTAGTGTGGAACTCCTCGACATGCTTACATCAACTTATATTAGTATTACTGAGTTTGAGTCGAAAGCGGCTTTGAAGGGCCAAACGTTACATGTGATGTTTTTGGTGTCTAAGGATCACCTTGAAGTAAAAGGGTGTTTACGAACGTCACTGTGGACACTGTTATGTTCTTACAATGTTATTAAAGTTCTGTTTGTCAAGCCTGCTTTTGTTGTTTTAGTGATCACGAGGGCACAGTCGCTAAATAATTATGTTTCAAGAACTACAGATGGAATATCATTCAAAAGTCGATTTACTTCTGTCATTCAACTTATAATATAAAACAGCACATGCAAAGTGACATGACATGTTTGGATTGGCTCACAGATGTAAAAAAAAATATTTTGAAAATGGACTGTGAGCCATAATAATGTCTAAATGCCCCTATCTCAAGCCAGTTGTGCCGTAATGAATCTTTACACAATTACATCATGAACCAAGCTGCTATCTGCCTTTAAAAACAAAAGTATTGTCTCCAAATTACGTTTTGACCATTTCTCAATATAAACTACGTTCTTATGCAAAACGTAATGTTAATGTTGGGTTAGTGCAAATGACTGATTGACATACTGTATCATACTATTTGATAGCACCTCTGTGGACTAATCATCAATTCTGTTGCTTTACTGTTACTGAACAACAGAAGAAGAAAAAACAAAAGCCTTACATTTGTATAAGCCGCTGCGTGCAGGGAAAAAACTGCCGCTAATAGTCTGGAATTTACAATAAAGTGTATTTTGACATTCTAAACAAAATTAATCAGAATCAGATTCCTTTTTATTGCCATCTGAGTAACAGGAAGTCACAAACTAGGAAATTGCTTTGGCTCTCTGTGCAAACAAGTTAAATCAGAATAAAAACAAGAAGGCATGCACATTTATGCATGCCTTCTTGTCTCTATTCTGCAACTTCTACATACATTTCTTCAGTTTACTATATACTAGTGCACTTGGTGCACACAATAGACCCTTAAGAGTGCGGTAGAGTGCAGTACAGTAGCATAAAGTGTCGGTCATAAGGTCGGAGGTTAGAGGGTGGATTATGAATGATTTAAGGGCTACATCCATTGCAAAGGAACCATACATAAACATGTTAGAGTTTGCATGTCATTTTCATCCCTTTATTATAAAAGGAGAAACTAAACTGAATGTGAAATGTCCTGGTATCAGCTCCAAGTTTATACACCTACATTATTAGTATCCGCTTTGACGTTTGCTTCAGTTCATAACTTTTACAGGAGTTTCCTCCGGTAACCACACGTTGCCAGATCAGATCTGAGATAAAGGTCAGACTCTGATGTGACGAAGGCCATTCACCCTGTTCACTGTTTGTTCAATGGTGTCATTGAACAACATTGCTGTTGTGTAACAGCCATATTACACAACGGTTGTCTCTTTTATAGCGCTTATCTTTCATATGCAAGTACGAATTTTTATTTCAAACGTAATGCAAATTAAATAAAAATAAATAAAACATAAACAGGAATAAATAGTTTGAAAAAGAGGCTGGACAAAGCAGACGCTTATTTCAATCCGGAGAGACTTGAACAAACAAAACATGGGTATTAGAATACCTCGTCTGTGGAACACTCTTCCACATGAACTGTGAACTATTCCAACTATAGGAGCGTTTAAATCCGGTATTAAAACATGGCTATTTGCCTCAGCATTTACATAAGCCCGTGCTCTTTGGGAAACTTTTTATTGTATGTATATGCATTTAAAAGGATATATGTGTGTGTATGTGTACATGCGTATGTATGTATATGTGTGTATATATATATATATATATATATATATATATATATATATATATATATATATATATATATATATATATATATATATATATTGTAGATTTGGCTTTATGTTTTGGATCATTGTCCTGTTGGAAGATAAATCTCCGTCCCAGTCTCAGGTCTTTTGCAGACTGCCATTGCAAATGGTCCTGTATTTGGCTCCATCCATCTTCCCATCAATTTTAGCCATCTTCCCTGTCCCTGCTGAAGAAAAGCAGGCCCAAACCATGATGCTGCCACCACCATGTTTGACAGTGGGGATGGTGTGTTCAAGGTGATGAGCTGTGTTGCTTTTACGCCAAACACATCGTTTTGCATTGTGGCCAAAAAGATCAATTTTGGTTTCATCTGACCAGAGCACCTTCTTCCACATGTTTGGTGTGTCTCCCAGGTGGCTTTTGGCAAACTTTAAACGAGACTTTTTATGGATATCTTTGAGAAATGGCTTTCTTCTTGCCACTCTTCCATAAAGGCCAGATTTGTGCAGTGCACGACTGATTGTTGTCCTATGGACAGACTCTCCCACCTCAGCTGTAGTTATCTGCAGTTCATCCAGAGTGATCATGGGCCTCTTGGCTGCATCTCTGATCAGTCTTATCCTTGTTTGAGATGAAAGTTTGGAGGGACGGCCAGGTCTTGGTAGATTTGCAGTGGTCTGATACTCCTTCCATTTCAATATAATAGCTTGCACAGTGCTCCTTGAGATGTTTAAAGCTTGGGAAATCTTTTTGTATCCAAATCCGGCTTTAAACTTCTCCACAACAGTATCTCGGACCTGCCTGGTGTGTTTCTTTGTCTTCATGGTTCTCTCTGCGCTTTAAACAGAACCCTGAGACTATCAAAGAGCAGGTGCATTTATACGGAGACTTGATTACACACAGGTGCATTCTATTTATCATCATCAGTCATTTAGGACAACATTGGATCATTCAAAGATCCTCACTGAACTTCTGGAGTGAGTTTGCTGCACTGAAAGTAAAGGGGCCGAATAATATTGCACGCCCCACTTTTCAGTTTTTTATTTGTTAAAAAAGTTTAAATTCTCCAATACATTTTGTTCCACTTCACGATTGTGTCCCACTTTTGTTGATTCATGACAAAAAATTAAAATTTTATATCTTTATGTTTGAAGCCTGAAATGTGGCGAAATTTTGAAAGGTTCAAGGGGGCCGAATGCTTTCGCAAGGCACTGTATATGTATGTATATGTGTACATATGTGTGTATTTATATATTTGTAACTATTACAGATTCATGTTTATGTATTTGTACCTAGTTGTGTATAATGTGTGTATATATATAT